AGACACGATCACTGCCGCTGCTCGATTTAATATAAGTGATCTAATTAGATCACTTGTATTAAACGAGCAGCGGCTCCCACTGTACATTCAGCTCTGCTTGTCAGGAGCAGGGCTGAATGTACAAAAAAACTATTCGCACGGCGCTTGAAACTGCATGCCCCGGGCGTCGGGCGATAGGTATATGCTCCATAAGACGCAGGCACATTTTCCCCCTCCTTTTGGGGGGAAAAAGCTGCGTCTTAAAGAGCGAAAAATACTGTATATATCTATATACTGTATATTATCATATTTTTTTCAATAATTTTTTTATTATTCTTCAACAGAGACAGAGACATAATAACAGAGATATAACAGAGATATAATAAAATCCATATCACCAATACAAAGATGAAAATTAATTTTAAAAAAATTAATATATCTATCCCCAACAAAATATGCTTAAATCTAGTCCATACTATAAAAAAAGAGAACATTTATCGCTCCTAATTGTTAGCTAAAAGCAGAGCAATCTGCACATTTAATCCTTTAGGTTGAATTGTGTCCCGTGTGTATATCTATTTTGTTTAATTTCTGGAGATATTGCACTTCAAATCTGACCCCCTCCAATGCTTAAAGACTCTATCAATGCTACTGAACATTAGTTTGCTGGGATACACAGATCCGTATGTGCTAGTCATTCGCAGCACCTTATTTTCATCTTTCTTCTATACAAGGTCTCAACAATATTAATCAATCACACCGACTCCCGTCATCCTGGTAGATCTCTGCAATTAAATCTGAATTCAGCCATAATTCAGTTTGTTTTATTTAAAGAAGAACTCCAGGCATTAATATTCGTAACCCTTGCATTGGGGCTACCCCGCACTGCAAGGGTTAAGTGCTCGAAAATAACGTTATACTCAACTAAAGCTCGCAGCTGCTGGCTCCTAGACCGGTCCCTGGAGCCTCTATCCTCCTCCGCTCAAAAGATGGTATGTCCTTCGGCCTCTTCATGTCCTATACACTGTATTGGACGTGATGACTTGCAGGACCTTAGACCACTGGAGCAGAGGGGAAAAAAGACTCAGAAGACCGGTCTAACAGCCAGCCGTCTATGAGCATCAGGTGAGTAAACCTTTTTTATTTTTGTCCCGAGACAAAAACTTGCAATGAATCCTTGCAGTGCGGGGGTAGTCCCACTGCAAAAGGTAAGACTATGTAAACATTAATTAATTACTAGACTTTCTGAAAATTGGGATGAGTTTGGCTGGCCTAATGATACATTTGTTTTCACCACAGAAGGCATGGTGCCATAGGAAAATGTGAGGCTAGGGATGTTCAGATACCAGTGCCGATACTTGGCATTTTCAGGAGAACTAGCAGGGTTGCAGCGGTTGCAGCTGGGACTGTGCTCTGGTGCTCCACCACTGTCCTGAAATCATTAGTCTGTATTGTTTTAGAAAAACTGTCACACGACACTAAACAAAAATGTATCAGTAATTGTATCTGTACGTACTTGGGCAAGTATCAGTACTTGTACTTGCAAAACTGGTATCAATGCATCACTTTAGTTATATTTATATATAAAACAAATCATACATGAAAACAGAGATGTACAAATCCCAGGAGCTCCGTGTGCTCCTTACAAATGACAGCTGTCTCTAGTCTAGTCTTGGAGCTGGAAAAGTATCAGTACTTGTACTGGTACAGAGTATGGTACCTGGTATCTGAACATCCCTGTGTGAGGCTAACAGGACCTGCAACATTTGAAATTTGTGTATTTCAGGGTCTCTGGCTCATATACTGCAATTATACACTATTGTGACAGAGTACAAATGACTAATATCCTCAAAAAACTGAGCATTCTTACTAATGGTGCAGTCTTCAGTGATGGTCCTGGCAAAAAATGGAACGGACGGGTAAATCCTGAGAGCTTCTTTAACAACTGCTTCAAGATAACGCAGCTTCTTCAGATCATCCATTGTCGCTGGCCTGTCAGACTGACCTAAGGATATACAAAACTAGGTCAGAGAAACTTCTCATTTAACATTTTAAACTTGTTATCTGGATTCATATTTGATGTCCTAAACTGGTATGTTTGAACATGTGTAATGACTAAATTTCAGGTACAACTTGTTTTTAGTTTAAATATATTTACTGCCAAAATTAGTCTTTCTTCCTTAGGATAGAGTAGGGTAAGGTTAAAATAAAATATTGGGCAGATTTCTTCACTTTCTGTCATGTAGACACAACAGGAAGCAAGACAAAATCTCTCCAATGTGAGGGAAATCCTCTCTTAGGAACTGGAAAATGTAGACCTATTGACAACCCCTTTATTCTTGTTTCAGTGACAACACAAAATTTGTTTTTTTTCCCTCAGTTTCAGTTACAAGAGAAATCGGAAAGGAGACTAGTTATCTAGGAGAAATGGAGAGGGTATGTCCCCCCATACGCGATACACGTGACAGAGTTGCTAATATTTCACAACTCACTCTCCATCACTATAAAACAAAGTTTTAGATGCATTATAAATCTAAAAGCGATCATTTTTGTTTGTGGAAGTGTTATAATGAAAATCAGCAATACAAGAGATATTTTATTTGCCACTTGAAGTTTAATAAAACTTACGCCCCTTTCTCGCAGGGCTTAAGGCTGCGGCTGAGGATTCCTGTGGCAAGAACCTACAGATTCTTGTGGCAGGACTCCCAGGTTGGTCTGAACAGATGCGGCTGCTGTCCATGGACACAGACAGATTGCATCCAGAGACAATCGTTTATCGCAGGTAATCGTACCATGTACAATTACATGCAGACAGCTGCTGACAGATGGGGCCACTGTCTGCCAATCATTCCCTTGAACGGACAGTGACCGTATGTGTATAGACCCACCTGGGAAAACCTGCCATTTCAATAATGTAAGTAAAAGTCATATTTAGTAAATGACACCCACTTTCCAGGTACCTGTGTAGAATTTGCAAACTAATTCCAGCATATGTATGCGTTTGTTAAGCAGTGTTCTTACTGTATAGCCCCTGCTGGAGTATTATGTTTAAGCTGTTTTCAGCCATGCTGCAATCATAAAATTATTGCAGGCCTTACCAAAAATCTCATCCAGCTCTTTATGCACCTTTGCCTGGATTTCTGGATGGGATCCCAATAAAAATAAGGACCAGTTTAGAGCAGCAGCAGTAGTATCGTGACCCTAAAGATTAAACATTTCATCAGTTAAATCATTTTCACTAATATTGTATAATATAACTGACATATTGTGAAAGATTTTTTTAAATTTGATTTTAAAAAATAATAATTTCATTATGCGGTAGGATTGTGAACTAAGTGTAATTAGCAGTCAATTAGCAGAGAATAGATAACTGTAATTAGCAGTTATCTATTCTCTATGGAAGCTTTTAACAACAACAACTTTACAGGTTTTGTAAATCTATCTATGATGAACAATTTATTTTTTAAACCAAGAAAAAGGAGAGTGAATGTAGCCAAACCATGTGTACAATGTTAAGGTGCTATCATCCCTAATGTTTAATGATTGAGAAGAAACAGGAGACTGAATATATCACCCAAGAAAGATCTGGGGCACAAAAAGATGTATTCTATATAAAAATTATCAAATGTTATTACAAAATATTAAAATTCAAAATAAATATTAAAAACATACAGATATACAATATATACAGTAGTGTTTTCAGACTATTAAGTCTCTGAAAACAGTAGGAGGCTCTATTACTGTCAAAAGGAACCTGTCAAAATATGGGACCTGCCAATGCTGACTTGAGGCATCCTTTTTTTAATACAAAATTATGAAAAATTAACCTGGAACAAGCATGCGGTCTGGTGAGCTGACATGTACATAGTTGCTCTTGGTCAGTGACTCACCAGGAGAAAGATCAAGATGACAGCTGCAGGGACTGCATCTTTAAAACAAGTAAGCCATTGCAGCTTCCCTATTTTTACTCTGACAGGCTTCTTTTAACAGCAAAATATTGCAGGAAAACAATGGATATATACAGCATAAAACTGCAGCATCTCCTCGATCAGCACTGTAATGTCTACAAGCAGGCAAGTAACTAAGGGGTTCATTTATAAAAGCCCCACCCCATGTAAAGCCAGATTGTTGCCGTTAACATGGCACTAGCATCCCTAGATGACGCTGATGAGTACAGGAATTTTCTATACTTATCAGCACCATTTCAGGGCGCTGGTGATATGTAAACCGTATATACCCGCCTATACGCCAGGAGGAACTTTTATAAATAAACCCCTAAGTGTGGCAGTTAATGTAGCAGACAAGAGCAACGACAGATAGGTGAAGACATACAGTATACAACTGTGTTGTAAATTCTGCCAGAGTTCTTCCCTGCTGGACTGCTTCAGCACATTCCTTATTCCTCATTTCTATGACTCTCAGCACTTGTCCCCCTCCCATACCAGATGTCTGCTGTTTCTCTCCCTCTCCTGCTATTGTAGTGCAACAATCCTGTCAGCCTACTACAGGAAGTTAAAAGCTCAGTGCATGGCAGCGTCACCATTTGTTCAGTATTTTTCAGTACTTGAAGCATTTTTAGGGAGAACATAACATTGGGAAATGTGGATTTTGGCCATGCATACATTTAAAAGATGTTTTTCATCAAAATGATGGACAAAATTTGGATTGTAAGCTCTCACGGACAGGGCCCTCCTTACCTTCTTGCCTTGACTTGTATTGTAACTGTAATGTCCTCCTTATATTGTAAAGCGCTGAGCAAACTGCTGTCGCTATATCAATCCTGTGTTATATTAATTATAACATGTCCCCACACATGGATTGCTACTGAGGATTATGCGGACAGACTAGCCCATTCATCCATAGAGAATGACTCTGGGTATTATATTTGACACTTGGACAATTCAAAGCAGTGGCGGAACTACTGCCGGAGCGCCTGCAGCGGGGCCTCGACCTGTGGGGCCCCAGCACAGGTCCAGCACCCGATCGGTATCCAGCGAGTGTCGGATCATCCGTTCATCCGACACTCCTGGCACAGAGATGGGGGGCCCGCTGGGGGGCCCATCAGCCGGCCAAGATAGCAAACTGAAATCCTCGGCTACCTTCGTACAGCGCTGCTTCCGATCCGGGTCAGCGCCATGGCAACCCTCCGCCAATCACAGCGTGCTGCCGCTACTGACCGGTCCCCGCCCACTCTGCTGGGCTCCTTCTCATTCGGCTGTGTGCAGAAGGGGCAGAGTGTGCGAGAGGGGGGCAATGTATATAGAGAAGGGGGGGCAATTAGCGTAGGGGCCTATAAACAATCTGTTGAATTTTCTGGCAGGGGTATTCAACCTCAGGTTTCTGGTGGAGAGCCATACAAAGTCGCCTTCC